TCCTTAGTATCCTCATAGATGGATACCTTTGGATACTGTTCCCAATATTGCACAGCACTCTAATGTCAGTTAGATTTTGGCTATAGCATTGAACAAAACCTGAGTGATACACATCTCAAACAAACAGGACAGATTCCAGCTTGAAGGCTTCCTGTAGAGTAGTTAATGCAACTATTCCACCAAAAGGAATTATTTTTCTCCATTAGGGGACCCTGAGCCCAACTCAGCAGAAAACACACTCCAAATGGCATGCATGATAAAATATTTTGTTCTGTATCTATAAGATGAACTCCGTTGACCAGCTTTTGTCCCCTGATGATTCCTTCAGAGGGACCCACTACAGAGGTACACTATTTATGAGGCATCAGGGTCAAGAGCAAAGCAGGAAAGAGGAGAGTTACATAGGTTGAAAAAACACCTTTCATAAATAAAACAAAAACCCTCAGTTGATAAAGAGGAAGGTAAAATAAACCCTTAAAAAAGCATCTTCTCAATTTGCACCTAGAAGGAGTTTCTTCCTGATCCAAAAGTCAATCAGCTACTCCCTTGATCAACAATTCTTCCTGTCAGTGTACCTGCTTTCCCGTACATCCCTTATGGGCAAGCAGATATACTGACAGGTCTGCAGGAGACCTGCATGGCACCAGCGATCTGTCGATTGCTGGTGCAATACTTTACAGGCTCCAGAAACAAAAAAAATAATAAATGCACATTTTTTTTACATGCAAAATAAAGTGCATTTATTATTTTTTGTAAATAGGTGAACTTATCCTTTAAGCTTGCTACAACCAGCTTCTGTGAAAGACTGTTCCAATTTTTACAGCTCTTACTGTAAAGAAGCTTTTCAGTGTTGGGCAGCACAGTGGCTAAATGTTTAGCACTTCTGCCTGGCAGTACTAGGGTTATTGGTTCAAATCCGCACAACCTGCATGGAGTTTGTTCTCCCTGTGCCTGCATCGGTTTCCTCCGGGTACTCCGGTTTCCTCCCACCTCCAAAGACATGATGGTAGGTGAATTGGTTCCTGCCTAAACTGGCCCTAGTACGTGTATGTATGAATGTAAGGTAGGGACCTTAGATTGTACGCCCCTTGAGGGTTAGGGACTGATGTGAATGAACAATATATATGTAAAGCGCTGCGTAAATTGACGGCGCTATATAAGTACCTGAAATAAATAAATAAAATGTGCAGAGCTTATACCTCTTTAACCTCAGTATGGGAGTGGTGCTAGCAGACTTTGCTTATCACAGGGAGGAACAACAGTACAACTACACAATCAATGATCCTACCTCAGGTTGAGCAGCTGGTGTTCTTGTAAGGGCCTACAGATATACATTTGTTGCATGATTCAAACAAAAAAAAGCCTGTTTGGTCTACTTTCATCTTATGTCTGTGGGTGACTTAAAGGATAACTACTTTTACACAAAGTATAGGTATCTTTTTTTTTTTCCTAGGTCCCCTAGAAAAATCCCACCCTTTTCCTCCACAGATCTGTACTAACCAGGGGCAGACTGACCATTTGGAAACTCGGGCACTGCCTGAGGGCCCAGGGTCAGTAGGGGGCCCCATGAGATGCCCCTGGTACCTTTTTCATAGGCTTTTTTGAGTTTGGGCAAGGACACAGGGGCCCCATGATTCCCTATTGCCCGGGGGCCCCATGAATTGTCAGTCTGACCTTAATATTATGGCCACGGTCTCCTCAATCCTTTATCTCTAGGCAGTGAAAATGTTCTTAGCACTGACTGTGCACTATGGGAGGTGTCTACAGGTCTGTCAACCAATACAAGAAGAGTTATGCCGATGGGCCTAGAGAAGGTAATGGAGAATGAGTGTGCAGGCATAGCTAGCTCTAAGATTTTTACTGCTAGAAGGTGAAGGTTTATTCCTCCTTTTAGTATAGTAGGTGGAGTAATGCAAATTGTTCCATTATGCCCCTTGGTCATCTGTACATCAGGGGCGTATTTACCTCAAGGCAAACAAGGCATTTGCCTAGGGCTGTATTTTTCAGGGGGGCAGAAGGGATGGAAGAAGGTACACACACGCAATGGGAACCAGGTGGGGTCCAAGAGAGACTGCGGGCTGCTTGATGGTGTATGCAGAGCCTGACTCTCATTCCTGTGGATGTCCGGAGCTGTGAAGGTGAGTGTCTTTCTCTCTGTCGCCAGGGGGGGTGGTAGTGGAAGTGTCTCTTGGGTGGGGGGCAGGGGTGTTGTTGGTCAATGTCTCTCCGGGGGGGAAGGGGGGGGGGGGGGTGGTGTTGGTCGGTGTCCATGGTGGCAGATGATTTTTGTGTTGCCTAGGGCAGCACAAAACCTAAATACACTACTGCTGTACATCCAGAAATACCAATGCATAGCACAGATACAGTATAATGTTATGCAGCCATTTATATAAAAACTGCATACAGCCATTTCTGGCTTTTTCACCACCAGGAGTATAGCGTATGGAAATCATTTCTTCTATAGAGTAGGCATTTGGGAGCATCTGCTGATTTGTTCTGAAAGGTGCAGTTAGGCAGGTTGCCTATAGTTTGTTAGCTATACAGTGGCTGGCCCAGGCCAGGGGAATGAGTTCATGTTGTGTGCTGCTGTTCCTGGACTTTTTGGATCCAGCCTACCTGTCTGTGATAAAAAAAATAAGAGGGGGGAGGCTGGGTTCAAGAGCTTCGGCCCGCTCAACAGAGAGGATGACATGATTGCTGGGGAAGAGGACTTCTGCGCCTTGCAGTCCATCGGAGGCCTTGGGAGCCCAGAGATCTACCAATTCCCGGAGAACACCAGAAATGGAGTACTACCTTGTGGAGATATGGTTGGGCAGCTTAGTAGGGATAGTCAGGGGATATTCTATTATATATCTTACTGGGCTGTATTTCCAAAGCATTTCTATTAAAGGTTTTTCAACTGTTCCAAGCCTGGTTTGAAGTTATTTAAGGGGTGCATGATGGTTTCTGGCATATTAAAAAACTAGAGTCAGTAAAGCACATATCGGGTATGAAGTAAAGCCATTACCAAAGGTCTACTTGGCAAGACAGGCAGGAGGAGTAATAATTTGCCATGGGTAACCACGAAATAGTGCAAGTTACCTTGCAGCCTGTTGTGAACCGTGGTGCCTGGTGTAGGTGAATGGTCCTCCGGTAGCAAGGGGGTTGGTGATCTGGCTCCCTCTCTAGTGGTCGGTTTCTCAAAGCAACCAGGACCAAATCCACATTATGGAGACCCAAAGCCTGGCCACATGGCATAGGAAGGAAGGAATTAATGAGTACACACATGAGGTCCACACTAAGGGCACAGCGGGACCCTATTCTGTCACTGGGAGGGAGGGTAGCAGAGGGATAGTGGTCTGGTGGAGAGGGCACAGGCTCAGCAATGTCCCTCCTAAGTGCATCACACATCAGACAACATTGTGTAGTGATAAGGAACAGCCCTATTCAGAGGTACTCTGTATTTTTATTATTGTACACAGTGATACGGCTCATCAGTTGGGGAACTGCCTTAATGTTTGATTCTCACATGAATGCAGCCTCCACTTGGTTGCGGGCAATGATGAGCACATGCACAGAAAAAAGTGCCCCTATGTGCCTACAGTGCATGCTCTCTAGGGCTATCTTTCTGATTGTCTCTTTACCACTTGGGGAGCCACTGACCTTACAGTGAACCTCCAACTCCACCGTCATTTGTAATTTTAGTGCTGTCAAAGTTGACGATCTCTGGTTTATGCAATTATACAGGGTTGATGGAGACAGAGCAGTCCAAAGAAATTCACAGCAATCCACAAATATTCTTTTATGCGTAAATCTTTCTTATAGATAGAAGAAGTGCCAGACTGTTGGTCCTTATCCAAATGGTAACTGGGGTATGTTTGTTCAGTTACCAGTGGAAGAAGGTAAATGCTGCACCCCAGTGCAACCCATCAGAATTCACTTTCCTGAATTCAGGTCACTTGTTAGGAGTCATTTGTCAGAATAAATTTGCAGGAGTCACTTGTCAGGGGTCACCTAGTGACAGGTGACCCCTGACAAGTGACTCCTGCAAATTTATTCTGACAAATGACTCCTAACAAGTGACCTGAATTCAGGAAAGTTCAGGAGGAAAGCGTCTTCAATTAACGCATTCTGTCCTCCATTTTGTTGAAGTTTGCTATATAATATTGACAATAAGGTTTTGTGGATGCCACTCAGTAACGTATGCACCTCTAACCCTTTATAAAAGTGGGAAACAACTTTGCCACATGTATGTGTTTCAGGGTTAAATAGTTACATAGTTAGTCTGGCTGAAAAAAGACAAAAGTTCATCCAGTTCAACCATAGAAAAAAAAAAAGTTACAATCCTACACCCACAGTTGATCCAGAGGAAGGCAAAAAAAAACCCCCAGCAAAGCATGATCCAATTTGCTCCTGCTGTGAAAAAAAATTCCTTCCTGATCTCCCGAGAGGCAATCGAATATTCCCTGGATCAACAAGTTCCCATTTTCAACTGGATTGTACCTACCGCAGAGATAAGTGGTACATATACCCCTAATTTAATTGCTTTTGATCATATGTTCGTTTAGACTAGAGTTACCATTTGTCACATATTGAATCAATACGAGACAGTGGGGGAGAATGGGGCTAAATGGTTAGCACTTCCACCTGGCAGTACTAGGGTCTTTGTTTCAAATCCCAGCCGCAGTGCCACGTCCCTGGAGTTTGCATGTTCTCCCTGTGCCTGCATGGGTTTCTTCCGGGTACTCCAGTTTCCTCCCACACTCCAAAGACATGCTGGTAGGTGAATTGGCTCCTGTCTAAATTGTCCCTAGTATGTATATGTATGAATGTGAGTTAGGGACCTTAGATTGCACACATCTTGAGGGTTAGGGACTGATGTGAATGTACAATATATATGTTAAGCGCTGCATAAAATTTACAGCATTATATAAGTACCTGAAATAAATAAAAAATTTACTGAAACTGGTGCAATCAGCTTCTTACTTCTGCTTGGCCAATTAAGCTTTGACAAAGGGGTGGACTGACAACTCATGGGGCCCCCGAGCAATAGGGGATCATGGGGCCCCTGTGTCCTTGCCCAAACTCAAACAACACCCAAAAAAGCCTATGAAAAGGTACCAGGGGCATCTCATGGGGCCCCCTACTGACCCCGGGCCCTTGGGCAGTGCCCGAGTTCCCAAATGGTCAGTCCGCCCCTGCTCTGACAATAAAACCTGGAAGCTGATTGGCTTCTGTGCAAAGCTGCACCAGATTTTGCACATTCCAGTTTTAGTGAATACCCCCCCCCCCTCATTTGTCCCACATTTAATGACTTGACACTGTTTACATGGTGCAGACGACTTGGCTGCTAGCACCATATCAACGAATGACACTGTGCGGCAAGAACACATTGCGTCAATAATTGCTATGATGCTGGTGAGTAGCCTCCCATAGTGACATGTAGCAGCTCTAGCCTCATTTTTTTCATATCTGCCCTCCCATGGCCTCTTCTTTGTGCAAGTAGCTGGATCTCAGCACATCACTTGATCACCCAACAGCAGCACAGAGCCTGGCTATGGCAGGGGTCTGCTGCTGTCCTGGCAGATGATAATTCTCATCGCAGATGTGTAGTTTGGTGGCCTTTGGAAAACTAAGACCCCAAGTACATGGGCATATTAAGTCACTCAGTTTTGCAGTTGGTAGCAGAAGAGAAGTAAATTTATTGTGTGGAGTTTAGAGAATACTAGGTTATTAAAGTGGTATTAAACCCAAAACCAAAAATGTAATATATTGCGGCTTACCAGTCATTAGATGCGGTGGCTGCATTAGTTTTCTTTTATAGGCTCTTTTTTTCCTCTGTTTTGAACTGATGATCTGGCCAGTAATACACCTCCAGTATTAGAGTGCCTCCACTCTGTATGAAAGAGCAGAGGGATACCTTTGGACAAGTGCATTGTCAGCCTGGGGGAGCGGAGTATTAGATGTACTAGCAGATTTAGATATGCTATGCAAATTGAAGCCAAACTCTAGCTCACACTACAGTTACAAGCAGATATAGCAACATTTTTTTTCTTTTGAGATAAAGGTTTTACATGAATAAATAAAAGCTGATCATTGTAAGCACCCCAGTGGTAAATGGTTTGTCTCAAAACTCTAACTGCTACATTTCCAGGACAGCTTGTTCTGGAAAAAAACCAACAGAGACAAATCATTAGTAAGATCTCAGCTAGATTATGCAGTTCAGTTTGTGGCACCAATTCACAAAAAGAACATTGGGGAACTGGAGAAAGTACAGAGAAGGGCAACCAAACTGATAAGAGGCATGGAGGAGATCAGCTATGAGGAAAGATTAGAGGAACTGAATGTATTCTCTCTTGAGAAGAGGAGATTAAGGGGGATATGATCAACATGTATAATACATAAGGGGGGATATGATCAACATGTATAAATACATCAGTGGTTCATATAGTGAACTCGCTGTCTGGAGTTATAGGTCACTCTTTACATCTGGAGAAAAAGAATTGTAATCTCCAAACACAAAAAGGTTTCTTCACAGTGAGAGCTGTGAAAATGTGGAATAGACTCCCTCAAGTGTTGGTTCTGGCCAGCTCAGTGGATTGTTGCAAAAAAGTCCTGGATTCTTTCCTAGATACACAGAATATAACTGGATATTAACATTTATAGGTAAAGTTGATCCAGGAATATCCAATTGCCTCTCGGGGGATCAGGAAGGAATTTTTTTTTCCAGCAGGAGAAAATTGGATCATGCTTTGCTGGGTTTTTTTGCCTTCCTCTGGATCAACTGTGGGTATAGGATTATAACTTTTTTTTTTTTTTTTTTATGGTTGAACTGGATGGACTTTTGTCTTTTTTTAGCCAGACTAACTATGTAACTTTCTAACCAGATCACCAGATGAAAATAAAGGAAAGAAAGATTAAAAAATAAAACAAATGCAGCCATCATGTTAAAAAATTGGTAAGCTTCAATATAATAAATATTTGCTTTTGGGATTAATACTGCTTTAAGATTTATTGTGAGAGCTGCAGCGTTCCAAACGTAGGAACTCTCAAACAACCTTCCAAAATATAGACAAGAACAAATAGCAGTGTGGAGTAGCTCTTGCCACAAAATGTAAGGTAAAGGTGTCCACAAAGCAATATCTGGAAGTATATTCAACAGTAGGAGTATACTGAAACAGGGCTGAAATGTGAATCAGGTGTGGAATGATTTGTAACAAGTAGAGATGAGCTCGGGCATCCATCAAACTCATCCCTAACCTGAAATCTGACTTTTTTGTAGTCTTATCTTTCAAAAAATCCACACACCATGTTTCCAGCCCTTTCCTATTTATGACCACATGGAAGCAATTTGGAGGTAATTGATTATAGAGGTGCTTTAGTGTTTTAGATATGCTATTGTAGTTACAGAAAGATTGATTTAACCTCCCTAGTGATCTGATTATGTCAGTATTTCTGTGCTCAAAGCGGTACATTGTTTTCAATGGAAATATGTTGTTTTTTTATTGTAGGCCTGTAATTCTTAGGAATAACTCGCTGAAATCTGTCCGAACAAAAGTCTAGTAAACATCTCGTATATGATAAAATTTGAAACATGAAATCATAAATTATAATATAATAAATAATCATTAAATAATAATATAATAATAAATTTAATTCAATAATGTAATCAAACCAAAAACACTGAAATTTGAAATAGAGCGCCAAGTTCGCATATCACTGATGACGAATTTCCCCACGAATCATTATCGCTCAATTCTGCAAGTGGTTCTAATTTACTCTCGCTGTTCTCTTGCTGGTCTAAAATCACTTTTGACCAAAAGGGACGCTTTTTGGACGCCATGGACATTTCTCAGTTTCCAGGCAGGAAGAAGAGTTAACATGCAGGCAGGGCACAGGACAAAGCACTCGGGACAAAATGTATGTGAAATGCTTTGATACAGTAATGTTATACTATCAGCTTTTAGTGTATTGAGTGAATGTCAAATTTTTACATTTTTTAAATTCCCACAGGTTCTGTCCCCCGTAAGTCCCATACGTCCTGACGCTTGCAGAGAACGGAACCCGGAAGATGGATGCCGGCATTGGCCGGGAACGCTGTAGGGGGGACATCGCGGGACCGCAGGACAAAATAGGTGCTCGAGAGATCCCAGAGCACCGCTGCAGTGTAATCCCGAGTGTAGCTCGGGGTTACCGCTTCTGGTACTGAAAGTTAACCCCGAGCTACACTCGAGAATACCGGCAGGGGCGTTAAGTAATTTACTGCTTTTTTCTTTAGCACAGCTGGGTGTTTCATCTTGGAATATTTTTCCATGTCTTTGACCATTGGGAGGTGGACAGGTGCATCTATAAAGATAGATTTACTTGCATGCTTTTGTTATATACCCGGATCTATAATAGTGTCTTGTGGGACTTATTGATGAAGGTATAGGCTTTTAAATATATTTATATAATCTACCATGATGGATTTTGACAACTATTTGTTTATGCAATATTTAGGGTCAACATTAATTGGACCTAAATGAGAAGTTTAGAAATGGGTGTGGGGTCTGTTCTCTAGTGGGTCCTCATTCTGGGTCTTAACCCTGCCCTTTGCACACTTTGGGGATACCCCATAATTTGGGGAGGTTTAATTCCCCTTAGGTATAATAGTTCTAAGTTGGATGATGGATGACATAATATATGACATTATTTTAATTATTTTGATTATTTCTATACAGAATGTTTTGTGCATTTGGGCTCCTGAAGAAGTGGACTATGTCCAAAAAACACGTTGAGCCACAAAGGATCATCTGATTATGAAAGATGCACTGCTATGTTGAGATATAACTGGAACACTTGCATTCTGTTTTTGTATTTGTTTTATGTACAGTGCATCCAGAAAGTATTCACAGCACTTAACTTTTGCCACATTTTATGTTACAGCCTTATTTCAAAATGGATTAAATTCATTTTTTCCTCAACATTCTACAAACAATATCCCATAATGACAACATGAAAGAATTTCATTTTGAAATCTTTGAAATTTATTAAAAATAAAAACCACATGTACATAAGTATTCACAGCCTTTGCCATGACATTCAAAATTGAGCTCTGGTGCTTCCTGTTCCCACTCATCATCCTTGAGATGTCTCCACAACTTGATTGGAGTCCACCTGTGGGAAATATAGTTGATTGGACATGATTAGGAAAGGCATAAACCTGTCTATATAAGGTCCCACAGTTAACAGTGCATGTCAGAGCGCAAACCAAGCCATGAAGTCCAAGGAATAGTCCATAGACCTCAGAGACAGGATTGTATCAAGGCAAAGATCTGGGGAAGGGTACAGAAAAATTTCTGCAGCATTGAAGGTCCCAATGAGCACAGTGGCATTCATCATCTGTAAATGGAAGAAGGTTGGAACCACCAGGAATCTTCGTAGAGCGGGCCGCCTGGCCAAAATGAGCGATCGAGGGAGAAGGACCTTAGCCAGGGAGGTAACCGAGTACCTGATGGTCAATTAGAAAGAGCTCCAGCGTTTCTCTGTGGAGAGAGGAGAACCTTCCAGGAGAAAAACCATCTTTGCAGCACTCCACCAATCTGGCCTGTATGGTAGCCAGACAGAAGCCACTCCTCAGTAAGAGGCAAATGGCAGCCCGCCAAAAGGCACCTGAGGGACTCTCAGACTATGAGAAGCAAAACTCTCTGGTCTGATGAAACAAACATTGAATTATTGGCCTGAATGCTAAGCATCATGTCTGGAGGAAACCAGGCACCACTCACCACCTGGCCAATACCATCCCTACAATGAAGCATGGTGGTGGCAGCATCATGCTGTGGGGATGTTTTTCAGTGGCAGGTACTGGAAGACTAGTCAGGATTGAAGAAGAGATGAATGCAGCAATGTACAGAGACATCCTTGATGAAAACCTGTTCCAGAGCGCTCTGGACCTTAGACTGGGACGACGGTTCATCTTTCAACAGGACAACGACCCTAAGCACACAGCCCACAAAGGAGTGGCTACGGGCCAACTCTGTGAATGTCCTGGAGTGGCCCAGCCAGAGCCCAGACTTGAACCCAATTGAACTGCTCTGGAGAGATCTGATAATGGATGTGCACTGACGCTCCCCATCCAACCTGATGGAGCTTGAGATTTACTGCAAAGAAAAATGGGAGAAATTGCCCAAAAATAGGTGTGCCAAGCTTGTAGCATCATACTCAAAATGACTTGAGGCTGTAATTGGTGCTAAAGGTGCTTCAACAAAGTATTGAGCAAAGGCTGTGAATACTTGTGGACATGTGGTTTGTTTAGTTTTTTATTTTTAATAAATTGCAAAGATTTCAAAACAAACCTCTTTCACGTTTTCATTATGGGGTATTGTTTGTAGAATGTTGAGGAAAAAAATGAATTTAATCCATTTTGGAATAAGGCTGTAAAATAACAAAATGTGGCAAAAGTTAAGCACTGTGAATACTTTCAGGATGCACTGTATAACTATGGAATCTTTTGCAACTAAGCAAAGTTAAAATTGTGTTCTAATAGAAATGTTGTGGCTCAAATGTCCCATTGTATAACCATACCGGGCACCTTTACCCCCTTCCTGCCCAGGCCAATTTTCAGGTTTCAGCGCTCTCACACATTTGAATGACAATTGCGCAGTCAGACAACATTGTACCCAAACTAAAATTTTATCATTTTCTTCACACAACTAGAGCTTTATTTTGGTGGTATTTAATCAACACTGGATTTTTTATTTTTTGCTAAATTAACAAAAAAAGACCGAAATTTTTAAAAATAAACACGTTTTTCTTTGTTTCTGTTTTAAAAGTTTGCAAATAAATAATTGTTCTTCATAAATTTAGGCCACAATGTATTCTGCTACATGTCTTTGGTGAAAATAACCCAAATTAGGATGTATTTTTTAGTTTGTATGAAAGTTATAGAGTTCACAAACTATGGGATATATTTGAATATTGATCAATCCTGAAGTACTGACGGCCAATCTAATTTCTTGAGGTCGAAGAATGTGAGAACAGTACAGATATCCCCCAAATGACCCCTTTTTACAAAGTAGACAGTCCGACGTACTTCATAAGAGGCATGGCGAGTTTTTTGAAGTTGTAATTTTTTTGTCATAATTTTTTGGAAAATGAAAAAATGAAAAAAATTATTTTCACTATTTTTTTTTTTACATACTGTCACCAGTGCAGTACAGCATCATCATATAACTGGCATGGCGGTGATCAGGGACACTGACTGGTGACAGTATAAAAAAAAATTATAATTTAAAAAAAAAAAAAAAATTATTAGTTTTTTAATTTTTTATTACATTTTTTTTCTTTTTTTTAAGATTTGTTTTTTCATATTTCACTATGACCAAAGTAGTGCAATGTTACCATAATAACATTGTACTACTTTGGGGAAGTGATCAGTATTTTTTTTTTTTTTACACAAATTGCTTATAGCAAAGAATTACTTTGCTGTAAGCAAGCATTTACCTGAATGACATCGATTCATTCAGGTTTTTTTTTTTTGTGCTTAGCTGTGATTTGGCCACGGCTAATCACATGACACAGCTGGGCTGTGATTGGCTCAGCTTGTGCATGTGATCGCTGTGACCATTCACAGCTAGACACACTAGTATACAATGGATAGCATGAAAGGAAGCCATCCATTGTATACAACTGTCATGTGACCTGCTGTGATTGGTCACAGCAGGTCACATAGTACCTGCAACGGGGCCGGTACTCAGATCTGTCATCGGCCGTGTTCGATTTACACTGCCGGTGACAGATCATGCCGCTGCGTTGCTCTGTGGGCATGCAAACTGCGCCATATGGCGTCCACCCGGAACGAGGGGTTTTGCAGGCCATTTGGCTATTGGCGGGAACTTGATAATATTCACTCTATTTTGATATTGCTATAGGAATGTGATACTGTTTTTGTTAAGATTTTAGATTTTTTTGTACTCCAGTGAGCTGCGGCCAGGCCATTCCCACCTCGTATCTCACATGTTCTTCCTGCAGTGGGAATTACAGTCTAGTACTGGGATGTTTTAAACTGGCTGCAGACAGTTTGAAACTTGGCCGGTTCAGCAGGGAACCAGCTTAGATTCAAACCATGTCTGGCCAGGCTGAATGTACCCAAGTCAATCGATTCATCAACTTGGGTACAACCAGCCTGTTGGATTTTTTTTTTTCTATTATTATATATTTATTGAGTACAAAACCAATATAGCATAAATACATTAATACAAAACAATCAGACATTTATTACAATTTTCACAGCACCCCCCCCCCCTTTTACTTCCCCCTAAACTTCACTGTCTTTTTTGTCCTAGTAGTTTCCCCTCACCTCTACTATCTTCCTCTAACTCCAAAGTATCCTCTTACTATATCAACTTTTTACTCCTTACTTATCATTCCTATATTTCCCTTTTTCCTACTCCATCAGTTCTACAAATCTCTGTATGTTTACATTCTCCCCACTTTTCCCAGATTTTTCTGAATTTTTTTCTCTTCTCCACTAAAATATAGTTCTTCATTCCTATATATAAATTCTACTCTTTTTATCCAATATTGTTTTCTTAGGATCTCTTGGGCCTTCCAAAATGTAGTGATTAATCTTTTTGCTGCAATAATTAAATGGGGTATCATCATGTTTTTTATATATTTCGTTGTTAGATCAGTATTATGAAAAAGACACACCCACGGGTCTTTTAATATACTTTCCCTCGGAATCTCAACTATGTGTTGTATTATCTCCTGTATTTTGGGGCATTCCCACCATATGTGAGATATTGTACCCACCATCCCGCATCTCCACCAACAATACATAGAATTCTCCGGATGTTGTTTATCAGCTCTACTAGGTGTAATATACCATCTTACCAGTAATTTATAATTCACCTCTACGGTATTCATGTCCACTGCCCCGTGTGTGATTCTAAATATTTTCTTTCTTTGTTATTCACTCAAACTGCATTCCCAACTCATTTTCCCATAATTGCTGGTATAACCGGTTCAGATATCATAGTCAGTATCTTATAGATACATGAAGTACCATGTTTTTGTATTTCATCTGAGTTTGACAATTGCTCGAACGGATTCATATTTTTAACCCCTCTTAGCTCATCTGCTTATTATTATTATTATTTTATTATTATTAATAATAGAATTATACATTTCTATACCAGTTGAAAAGGAGCCAGTATCATCCATAAGAGACTTTATTGGAGACTGCTGAGACAGAACACCATGGCAGAACCATATTCTATCTGTGCAATCACAAATAAAGTTTCTTGTGGATGATACCAGTGGTGTGCGACCAGGGGTGGGACTGACAACTCATGGGGCCCCGGGCAATAGGGGATCATGGGGCCCCTGTGTCCTTGCCCAAACTCAAAAAAGTCTATGAAAAAGGTACCAGGGGCATCTCATGGGGCCCCCTACTGACCCAGGGCCCTCGGGCAGAGCCCGAATTTTCAAATGGTCAGTCCGCCCCTGTGTGCGACCCTCCATTTCAGACTTGAATCATCTGCTACAATGGTGTGTGTGGGCTCCATGCCGGTCTGCACCTGCCCATCACAGCTTAAAGTGGTTGTAAACCCTTACATATACCTAGTGAAGTGACTGGCCTTAGGTGATACACAGAGATGAAACAAATCCTCCTGCGTAAGTTGTACCTGTTTATCTACGGCAATCTCATTTCTACATTAATTCAAAGTGCAGAATTTACACAGGATCTCTCAGCTCTGAAAAGCAGGGGGGTGGGGAACTGAAGTTACAACAGTGAGGAGAGCTTTGAGAGCTGATTGGAGGGAAGGGACACACCACCCCTTCACACAGCGCACAGGAACAGAGCTCAAGCTGTCAATCGAGGCTATGCTTTCCTCTGTCACCATTTTTCTCATGGTGTCAGGAACATTCATCAGAAGTGACTTATGCTTATAGCAGAGAAACAAGGCAGCAGACAGAAATGGTACTTAGGCCCCATTCACACCTGAACATTTTGTAGCTCGAAGTTCCAAAACGCTCAGGGGAAAAAAAAATCAATATCACTCGATAGAATGGTTCACATCTCCGCTCCAAGTCGCCTGAAACAGAACGCCTGAAGCTCAAAAATGTTTTGGAGCTACTTTTGTAGCTTGTTTTTGACACATTTTTATTCCCATAGAAAAGAACAGAAATGTGTGATTGCGAGTTTTTTGCATTCTTTTGTGCACATTTCGCGATTGTTTTTGACACATTTTTATAAATTCCCATAGAAAAGAACAGAAATGTGTGATTGCGAGTTTTGCATTCTTTTGCACATTTCGCGATTTTGTGCTCAAATAAAAAAAAAAATAATTATTCATATATTGTAATAATATATGAATAAATAAATCAAAAATAAATAAAAAAAATACACATATAAATAAAAAAAAATGATAAATGAATATTAAATAAATAGCCCCCACTAACCTTAAAAAAAATAAAAAGAAAGAAAATAATAATATAAAATAATAACACATTCGTAAAAAGGAAAAAGGAGCAGCACAGTGGCTAAATGGCTAGCAATTCCGCCTGGCAGTACTTGGTTTTGTTGGTTCAAATCCCAACCACAGCACCACCTGCCTGGAGTTTGCAAACCCCCCCCCCCCTACCCCAGCCCCCCTGTTGTGCCTGTGTGGGTTTCCTCCGGGTACTCCGGTTTCCTCCCTCACTCCAAAGACATGCTGGTAGGTTAATTGGATCCTTTCTAAATTATCCCTAGTATGTGTATGTATGAATGTAAGTTAGGGACCTTAGATTGTACACCCCTGAGGGTTAGGAACTGATGTGAATGTACAATATATAATATGTTAAAGCGCTGGGCAAATTGATGGCGCTATATAAGTGCCTGAAATAAATAAAATAATAAATAAATAAAAGCAAGATATTGTCAAGAAAGTTTTGGATCCTTGTGATCTCTGTTTTGTTTGATTACCATTTCTGTTATTATTATTATACAGTATTTATAAAGCGCCGATAGTTCGCTCAGCGCCTGTACATTACAAAGGGGACAGAACATGTGACAGAACAATAACAATACAATGCAAAACATGAGGGGATCGAGGGCCCTGCTCTTTCGAGCTTACAATCTAGGAGGGAGGGGGTGGTGGTACAGGAGGAGAAAGCTGTGGGGGATGGAGTGGTAGGAAGAGTGGAGGAGGTCGGCAGGTTAGCAGGGGGTGGGGTAGGCTTCCCTGAAGAGATGGGTTTTCAGGGTGCACCTAAAGGAGAGGAGAGTAGGTGATAATCTGATGGGTTGGGGCAGGGAGTTCCAGAGGATGGGTGACACCCTGGAGAAGTCCTGGAGGCGGGCATGGGAGGAGGAGACCAGGGAACTAGAGAGAAGGAGGTCTTGTGAGGAGCGGAGTGTGCGTGTTGGGTGGTACTTGGATATTAGGTCGGTGATGTAGTTCGGGGCAGTATGGTGGACAGCTTTGTACGTCAGTGTTAGGATTTTGAATTTTATCCATTGCGCAATCGGAAGCCAGTGGAGGGATTGGCAGAGGGGGGTGGCGGAAACGGAGCGGTTGGAAAGGTGAATGAGTCTGGCAGCCGTATTCAGGATGGACTGAAGCGGGGGGATAGCCAGCGGCGAGGCAGGCCAGTGAGGAGGGAGTTGCAGTAGTCGAGTCGTGATATGATGAGGGAGTGGATGAGCTGTTTAGTGGTTTCTGGGGTTAGGAACGTGCGTATTTTGGCGATGTTGCGGAGGTGGAGTCTGCACGAGTTTGTTAAAGATTGGATTTGGGGCTGGAAGGATAGATTGGAGTCCAGAATGACACCAAGTACTCTGTTATTCTGTTTATCACGGGATCTGTGTATTATTTTATTATACAGGATTTATGTAGCGCCAACAGTTTGCTCAGCACTCCACAATATAAAGGGAGACAATACAGCAACAATACAGTTCAATACAAGGAGGGCCCTGCTCCTTGGAGTTTACAATCTAGGAGAGGCGTATCCACGTTGTTCTATTTATGTGTAATCCTGCTGTTGCAGCAATGCCATTGTGGATTATGTAAGTACTGTTCCATTTTATCTATTATCTTGACAATAAAAGTTGTTTGGATTAAAAATAAGAAGAAGAAATTATTGTTATTATTATTTTTTTACTTTTTTTAGGTTTTAGGGGGTAAGGTTATGGGTTAAAATATTATTTTATTATTACAAGTATTTATTTCTGATTATTATCATTTACTTGTATATTATTTTACATGTATTTATTCTATTATTACTATTATTATTATTATTATTGTTATTAACAATGTATTTTTTTGTTCTGGTTTAGGTGTTTTTTTTATTATTATTATTAATAATAATAATAATAATAATAATAATAATTAAACACCTAAACCAGAACAAAAAATGCATTGTTAATAATAATACTACTACTAATAATAATAATAATAATAGTAATAATAACAATAATAATAATAATTTGTTTAAATATATTTTTTAAGGTTTAGGGGGTTAAGGTTAGGGGTTAATTATTCTTTATTTATTAATACATAGTATTTATTTATGATTATTTTTATTTACTTGTGTATTTATTTTACATTTATTTACTCATTTATTTATATTATTATTATCATCCTAATCCTAACAATAAATAAATAAGAAGAAAATAATAAATAAAATACTATCCCCAACCCAAACTCTAACCCCTAATCCTAACCTTAACTCTAACCCCCTTACCCCTAAAAAAAAACCCATAATAATAATAAGAAGAAGAAATAAAAGCTTATGAAAAAGCTGAACCTAGCAACAAATGATGCAATAGATGATATTTTTCTCTATTGGCTAATAAAAAAACTGCCAAAGCTCAAAAATGGCTAAAAACATTGTATGAAAGCACGCAAAAATTGCGGTAAAATATGCATGAAAAATTGCATGAAAAATGATAATGCTTATGAGGCCTGCTATCAAATTCAGTTTGACGTCCCTGTTGTATACAGTAGAGATACTGTAAGTAGTACATACTGTATGTCACTCTATGGAGTATATTTGCATGTTCTCTGTCCCGGTCCCTCCCTGGATACAGTACAGACACTGTGTGTATTTCTCTGCTTGGCGAGACAAGCATTTTCTGGAAGTGTGATCTGCGCTCCTTCAGCAGGTGATAGTTCAAGCTTATTCATTTCAGGAATTTGTGCTGGAATTTGACATGGCCTTGTCGCTGTACAGCATTCGATTGTCAGATATACAGCTCTAAACTTTAGATGCACTGTAAAATGTAATATGCACATCAAAAGAAGGCTTTTCTTAAAAGTCATAATTATCTGTAATAAAACTTCATATTATAAAATATTATTATATAGTCCTTAGCTCCTTCATATGTGAAGCTGGAAAAAACCACCAGTATAAAGATCGCTTCATACAGAAAAGTGACAGTTATTTTTAGCAGAGTCAAGTGAGAGCTGGGAATTACCGTCACATGATTAAACATCCACCCTGGAATTCATAAAGATTGGGGCAGACAGATTTTGCTAAAGAATCTCTCACGTGTTCTAAAAGTGGTGCAGCATGCACCAAACGTATATACCTAGTCTAGAACTTGTACTTTTGCACTTTCACAATACACACAAGCCACTTTTGCAAAATCTGTCTGCGCCAATTTCGGTCTCTGTACACCAAAAGTGATTTGGTCTTGACCACTTCAACACCAGGCACTTTCACTCCCTTCCATTTGCCTACCGGACACTTTCACCCCCTTCCTGCCCAGGCCAGTTTTCAGCTTTCAGCGTTGTCACACTTTGAATGACAATTGCGCGCTCATGCAACACTGTATCCATATTACATTTTTAGCATTTTTTTGAGGCTTTCCCTCCTTATGCAGGGTGTCAATGAAGGTTTTCTGCACAACTGTCAGGTCAGCAGTCTTTCCCATGATTGTAATTCCTACTGAACCAGACTGAGAGACCATTTAAAGGCTCAGGAACCCCTTGCAGGTGTTATGGCTTAATTATCTGATTAGAGTGGGACACTTTGAGCCGAGAATATTGCACCTTTTCACAATATTCTCATTTTCTGAGATTGTGGATTTGGGGTTTTCATGAGCTGTAAGCCATAATCATCACAATTATGACAAATCACGACTTGAACTATCTTGCTTTGCATGTAATGAGTCTATCTGATATATTAGTTGCACCTTTAAGTTGCATTACTGAAATAAATGAACTTTTGCACGATATTCTAATTTTTCGAGTTTCACCTGCACTACACAATGAATGGCATGAATGAATGCCATCCATTGGGTACAATTGTCATGTGATCTGCTGTGATTGGTCACAGTGATCACATGGTACAGGCAGCAGGGGACACAATGGGTGACTGATCACGCTGCAGCATGACCTGTGGGGCGAGCGCGAGGTACGTTCCAGAGAGGACGTTATATGTTAATTAGCTCAATTTTCGGAAGATACAAACTGTCAGTATTTAATTTTGAATGTGGTCTATTCAATGCGCCACAATGTAAAAGTGTCTCATTCTGATTTTGGTGCATGAGTCGCTGTCAGAACCAAGTGTTGCAG